AAAACAAATGTATTGCTATTTTTAACAAAAGATGGAAACAATTTAATACAGAAGTTTATTTACTTGCTTTTTTTCTTAATCCTAAATATCGAGGTAACAATATTAAAATTATATTTATTAATTATATAATAATTTTTATTTAATAAAACTTTATAATATAAATTTTTAGAAACTTGTTTACAAAGAAATGTTTTTAAACATATATCAAAAATAGCACTTAGTATTTTGAAGAAACAATTTAGTGGAGGTATAAATAGTTCTAATCTTTTATATATACAACTTAATCTATATCGAAATAAAGAGAATCCTTTTGATGATCTATATATGAAAAATATGAATAATTTTATCAATTGGTGGACATCATTAGAATTAAAAAAAGGTGAGGATCCTATTAGAAAACTTGCTTTTAAAATACATGCAATTGTATCACATAATGCAATTTGTAAGCGGATATTTTCAGTTTTAGGATGGTTTATAGGAAAACGACGTACTAAGTAAGTTTAACATATATGATTATTTAAATATAATTACTTTTATTTAATGTATTTAACACTTTTATTTATAGAATTAGTAGCAACCGTTTGCAATCGATGATACAAATGCATTCGTATCTTGTAACAAATGCTAAAACAGAATTAAGATTTTTAAATAATAGAATCACTATAGAAGAACTTGATAAAACTTTTAATCAAGTTACTATAGCAATGAATAGTAATAGTGATTTATTTAATTATAATGAGCTTGATATTAATGTTACGCTTAAAAATCATGAAATTGTAGACTTAGAAGGAATTAATAATAATAATTTAGAAATTTCTGATTTTATTGATTTATCAGCAAATTTACTTGCAGATAATAATAATTCTAATGATCAAGATTTTGAGGAAGAAAATGTAATTATTGATCATGGAAATCCAAATTTTGATATTGATGAATTGATAAATAGTTTTGAAAATATTTAAAATAATGTATTTTAATTACATAATTTTCGATGTCAATCAATTTTTTTTAAATATAAATAAATAGAATTATATAATATTGGGTATAAAATTTATCAAAATCCAATTACTAAGTATTAAAATATTTGCAATAAGTAATTAATAATAAATTTTCTATGACAGATTTTATACAAAAATATAAATTTTATTCATATTTGAATAAGATGATCTCAACATATAATATGCATTTTAATACAATAAACAAATTTACTTAAGCTATATTCATATGTTAAAATTAAAAATTATATGTTTACTTATAATTTTAATTTTAATTTTTTTTTAGATAATGGACGAAATGATCTTTATGTATATATGTTCAATTGATCTGAAAATTTGGATTCTAGTGCTTTTCGATATGCTGAACAAGTTTACTTAGACACTATTCATATGTTAAGATTGAAATATTACATGTATACTTATAAGTTTAAAATTTGCATTTAAAAATACTTAATTTTAATTTATATGCTAACAAGTTTACTTAGGCACTATTCATATGTTAAGACTGAAAAATTACATGTTTACTTATAACTGAAGATTTGCATTTAAAAATACTTAATTTTAATTTTTTTTTTAGACAATTGATGAAACAATCTCTACGAATATGTGTTCAATTGATCTGAATATTTGGATTCTGATGCTTTTCAATATCTGAACAAGTTTACTTAGACACTATTCGTATGTTAAGACTGAAATATTACATGTATACTTATAACTTTAAAATTTGCATTTAAAAATACTTAATTTTAATTTTTTTTTTTAGAAAATAGACGAAACGATCTCCACGTGTATATGTTCAATTGATCTGAAAATTTGGATTCTGATGCCTTTTGATATGCTAAACAAGTTTACTTAGGCACTATTCATATGTTAAGAATGAAATATTACATATTAAATATAACTTTAAAATTGGCATTAAAAATAAAATAAATTGTGATAAAATCCTTCATAGAAATTTTGTTACTAATCATATTTATATGATAATTTCAGAGTAGCTGTAGTTTGATATGACGCACAACATTACTTAAGTATCCTTCAGTAGATTAATTAGTAAAAAGAAAGTTTACTTAGAGCTAACATTTTTGAATGACTATTTAATTTTAGTATGGAAATTGAATGGGATTTGGGATTTGGGAATGGAATGGGAATGGGATTTGGGAATGGGATGGGATTATGACAAATAGGATGGGATGGAATGGGATGGTATAGGATGGGATGGGATTTAATATGGGTGGCAAGTATAAGTGCAAGTATTAATTTTTTAATTTAATTATTTAGAAAAATAATTAACATACTAACCTTTGATTTATTTCAGGATTCCGGAGTGGATTTTCGGTATCTACAAAAAGAGGTAAGCAAAATTATTATTTTTTTTTAATAATTTTAAAAACAATATTTACCTCCGATTCATTTAATCCAGGATTCTAGGATCCGGAGAGCTTCGTCAACTTACAAAGAGAGGTAAGTGCAAGTATTAATTTTTTTTAATTTATTTTAGAAAATATAATTAAAATACTAACTTTTGATTTATTTTAGGATTCTGGAATGGACTTTCGGCATCCACAAAAAGTGGAAAGTAAAATATTATTATTATTTTTTTAAATAACAAAAAACATTATACTTGCCTCGATTATTCAATCTAGAATTCCAGAGGGTTTCGAAATTAGGAAATAAATTTTTATTTATTATAATTGTATTATTATTATAATTGTAATTTTTTTTTTATATATATATAGTAAATAAAAGAGTGATATTTCATATAAATTTATTTGATAATCATTAAACATGATCATCTCTTTTTTATCATTCGTTTAGAGCTCCTAATGAGTCGAGTCAAGTCGAGTTGAGTCAAAAAATTTTAAAACTCTAACTCAACTCAACTCGAGTTATACTTAAATTTGACTCGACTTAACTAAAGTCAAATAAAAACCCCCAAAATATATTTGCTGATTATATAAATAATAAAATAATAAAATAATATTAATGT